TGGCAGTAGTGAGTGATTTTGTCTATCTTATTCTCCGATGCTAACCATCATCTACTTAAGGTTCATCTCGCGCATCACGTCAACTGTGAAATGATTTCAAAAGCCATGGTTAGTTAACTATCATCTTCCTGTGACTTTTAACTAACGCAGCCAAGGATAATATAAGGAGTAGGGTCGAGAAACTTATAGACAGAAAGTTTGAAGCACCCGAACTGCTTCTTCTACAAACCAATCGTCCACCCCTTGAGCCTTGGAAGCCGGAGTCTGAGAAGCCGGAGAAGCTGGGGTCGGTTGCACTGCCATGTAGTGTATAGAGGAAATTGAGCGAGACTTCTTTTCATGGAGATGGGTCATGAGATGGTGTAGATGGCTTGCTGTTGACGGACACAATCCGTCCATGGGCGCAGTCTTGTTGGGCAATGTTTGCCCTTAGGGAGAGGTATCGTCCCGGTGGTCGAGCGAGACGGCATTGCGACTTTTAAAGGTCGGGAGAGGAGGTTGTGGCAGAGGTGTAGGAATTCCAAGAAACTTGTCCGACGGGAGCGTTCTTTGATCTGTTGCCGCCTCTCTTTCTCGCGCCGTCCATCATCTTCTGCGAGCTTCCTCCTCTCTTCTTCCTGCTTCAGCCTCTCCTCTGCCTGCAGAAAGAGACTTTTGTAGTCCTGGGGAGCTGTTGCCTGCCATCAAGTGTTGGAAAGGGGAAGCTTCGTGACGACAGCTGACAAATGCGGACAGGCGATCTCCAGGGAAGGTCAGATGATCACGGCTCCCGGAACAGGTATTCTTCCGGAGAATGGTTGAATCAACTCCATTCAAATGGTACGCTGAAGCGCCACTACCCAACACTTCAACGCTTCAGCGTTTCAACCCTCAATCGCCGCAAAGACACCTTACCAACCCGAAAACATACGATAGATGAAAATGAGTAGTTTGAAGACGATAAAGGAAACAAGATCTTACGCTTGGAGATTTGAACTGAAGTTGCTCGGGAGTGTAGAGGATAGAGGACGCTCTTGACGAGGTTTTTCGAGGTTTTCAATGTTCACTGCTCTGGTGCTTCCACTGCTGAAGCCGCTGACGGGGGCGGATCGACTGTAAACCAATCAGAATTACTTTTGAAACTTTAGCGATGTCGCCTGAAGGCGCTAGTGTTTCGGGCATCTCGAAACGTCGGATACAAAATCGCACCTGCAGTATAGACCCCAGGAAGCTTTTCTATATCTTGCGCTCTTTAGCCTTGTCTAATACTTAGTCTGTTCACAAACACTTGAATTAACCAGTCCATAATGGCTTCCTACGTTCACTAGACCTCTATCTCTGACCCAGCTGATGCTTTAATACGGGCGAGGAGAGATCTCCAAAAACATATTGGGCTTGAGTCCAAGCCTGGCGATCCGCCCTACTCTGACCTGGCGGAAGACTTCCGCGTTTTTTTGTCAAGGTAGCTCCATACTCCCCCAGGGGGGGGAGTGCAAGTTATTAACTTGTAGTCAGCGCATCCTGCCAGGCAGCTTGCGTTTCGCAGTGAGCCCAGGGATGGGGCAGGCCAAATGGTCTGCCGTGGGTAAGTCTGCTAGTATGTCATACAATTTATCAAGCTCAAAAAGTCGTTGCCTAGATCTCTATTGTATCCAATGTTTGAAAAAATCGCAGATTTTTCCCAACTCCAGTTTATCCGTCGGGTCGAGCCTCTGACTCGATATAACTAGAGGTTTCGGGGGTTGGCAGCCAGCAGCATTCTTGACGCCAACTACCTCGTTTCAGGAGGGACTGAACGACTAATTCTGGAATAGAAAGCCCGGTGGGGGAAACAGGTAGCAAAAAGGGACAGATCTGGTGATGAAACTGCTGGGGAACTGGATCCTAATTTCTCTGCTTTACTCCAAAGAGCAGGTTTAGTGATATACAAAGCAAAGATTCCCAAGAACATGGATAGACGGGAATACTATACCTGGTTGCAAAAATGGCGCAAATGTTTATATTCTTTCTTTATTTCTGAACCCAAGGACTAATCTTGATCGGGTAAGTCTTCGGATCAGCTATAATCCGCGTATCTAGTCGTTATGACGATACGTCACAAGGTATGAAGTGTCTTGGCAGTGCGGGGTTGCTTATCCCCCGCTCAACCCAGTCGGACAGATGAAAGCCCTCAGACTTTGATTACCGTCCAGGAATATTATCTTGTAAATCAATCAGCGAGATGTCTTCCCTCTTCCAATTCCAGATTGACATTATCAAGGGAGTTACACTCAGCGCACAGATTGTTGAGAGACTCTTCAAAGACTGCACGGAGGACGATATCCAGGCCCTTGTGATTCCACCTCTTGAGCTGTTCGGCCAGTGGCTTATGGTTTCTAATGAGCGAATTCGTCAAGGAGAAACAGCTCTTGTGGTCCGGCAGCCTTCCTGGCTTCGAATTCCGGTGACGACATCAATGCCCTCGATCATTAGAACCATCGGCAAATCGATGCATCTGACGTCGTCTTTTCTCTTCGCCAGTTGTTGCACGATCGGGTTCAGTACTCAGAAGTCTGGAGAGTTGATACATGAGATGATGGACTTGAAAGGGTACCTAGCCAAATACAAGGTTTCTCCACGGCTGGTCTGTGAATTGGTTGAGATTCTTAATGGATGCCGTGATTTTATTCCGGCACCGACGCCCGTTGATGTCTACCACATGATAGCCGAGAAAGTCTGGTCAGAACGCAACATGCCGCAACTCAAAGCAGGCAACTACTACAATGACTGCGATGCTAAGGGACTTGCAAAGCTACTCGTACAGGTCTTGGACACCTTACAAGATATAAGCTATCGACAAGTTTATATAGAGGGAGGAAGAACTGGCATTTTGATAGCTTCCATCTTTGCTTGGTTGCGTCCGGAAGAGACTGCGGTATTCGTGAATGGGGGGCGGATATACCCAATCTCACAATCTCAACACGAAAGCGAGCCACGATTGCTAATTTGCTTACGTGAGTCTCAATATCCTCTCGATGATGAGTGGAAAATCACCGGATGGAAGGACGTTGAGTCGATTGCTGAAACGTTCCTCCACATCGGTGGCAATGACACCTATATTCTGAAACAACATCCATCGCCTTGGCGCGGTGCAAAATATCAAGTGGAAATGAAGGAAACCTCTCTTGTTTCCAATGATATAGGCCACCTTGCTGCCGCACTGATTGATACCATCACTGAAGTTGGCACTCTGCGGATAAATGATGAGAGAGAGGCTGTCAAGCTAAATGAAATCTGCTCAAGTCAGTTTCTGGAAAGCTATCCTGAGATCATGGCCCAATTTGGGTGGCGAAGTCTCAATACTGAGAGGGTTGAGAAGATGGTCAATGCTATCAAATCACGACTTCATTATCTGGGATCCACCTTCCTCCAAGGGCCATACGTCAATATCCTTGGAAGAATGATTGCAGACGGTTGCAAAGAGTACGAACAGTCGCACCATGAGCCAATGCTTCTAAGCCTAAATAGTCACACAAAGGACGCGGAGATCATCGAGCACGCGATCAACTTAGCTGGCCAGGCAATCATGTCTAGTCTCTGGTTGAAGCTTCCAAATAGTCTGACATTTTGGCCACTGGAACAAGGACTCTTAAATGAGCTAGCTGAGATCATCACAGAGCTCCTTACTCAAGACCTGGACTCCAAGTGTTCATTCTGGAAGCTGAGACAACGTTCAATTCTCTCGATAATCCCCACTACAGATGTAGGTCTATTTGACCTTGCTTGTGCAGGGGATGGATATGTGGCCTACAGCTCTATTTTGTCTGCGCAAGACGAAAATATGACTGATATGACTGATATGACTGACCGAAGGCTCGCAGGCTGCATTCAAGTAAGCCCGGGATGTTTGAAGTGGCAAGGAATGCAAGGAAGGTACATAAGATTGGTTCAGGAAACAGTTGACTTGAGGCTTGCTGGTCGTGCCGTGAACAATCAAGAGCATCGAGTTGAATTATTCAACAAGCAAGGGATTTTCAGTGGCATTCAAGAGAAACCCTCTCAAAACAGGCTCGACATATCTATTGTCAATTCGATCCGAAGCGACTACGTTAAGCGAACTCTATACCTCAGAACGCATCTGGAAGAAGAACTGCCGCCGGGAAGTCTCCTCCCTAAGGCTGCAATTTCAACTCATTGGGAACGCTCTATAGCAGCAGTATTGCGCGCGAAGCATATCAAGACTAACATGTCTCGCCTGGAGCAGCTGAGGCGACTTGTTGACGACTGGAATCAAAGAGGGCGCTTGGGCGATGCTTTGCAGTGGTGTTTGATTGGAAAAATTCCCAGACCGGGTGTCAGGTATATTACAACCACCAGTTCGAATACAGAATTACGCTTTTTCGAGGCAGGAAATGTGTCTGATGGGCGCAAACTGATCATTCGGCAAGGGGTGGTCCCACTTCTGCATTGTGTCAAGATCGCAATGGAGGATTATGGGGACGAATCCGAGTGGGTAATTATTGCGTGATTGGGGAATGCCTGAATTCTAGTCAACTTTCCCACAAAAATACCTTCTGAACTTTTGACATGCTGTTTTGTGTCGGCACACAAGTCTGAATCCATATTGCAATCGTCACTGAGGCTTTATTGATTCCAACGCGATTTGCATCATCATCTTACAGTCTTTGCTGTCCTGCTCTGGGTACTTCGCTGTTCCAGATCTACGGACCAGTTGCGGCAATATCCACATGGTTTTTTGACCATCACATGGCGGCTAGGCTGATACTTGACGTTGTCACATGAATATTAAATTTGTCGCCACGTGGCAAGAGATGATGCCCTTGTATGGGAGGATACATACAAACTAGGTTAGTTAACTACTGTAAGTAGAAAGCGATGAGTCAGTCGAAGCATTTTTACGTTTCAATACAGAATCTGACGACGAAGGCATGGAAAAATAATCCAAAAATAGCTTAGCGTAATCTTGATTAGGGCTTTGATACGAAGGAAGAGTAAAATGATTTGCGCCATTTTTGCAACCTAGTATATAACTTACTATCCACACTCGCTCCCTTCAAAAGTGATGGCCCCGGGACACAAATGAGTGGAATCTATTTGATAGATATCTTAGGGTCACATCAGAGAGCCTGACGGATCCGCATAATCTGAGTGCAATGGTCGAACAGTGGAAAACCTGTCACGGGCCAGTGCCCGATATTGGACACGGGCTAGCGCCCGCGCACGTGACCTTGGCATGTTGACACGAAGAACGCGCTTGGAGAACTTCTCTTTCTCCAAGCTTTTCGTACACAGTTCGTGGCCTAGCTAGATTGAATATAAGTCCGGCTTCAGCCCTTCACAAAACCAATGTGGTAAGGTGCCTTCCTTCTTTATTATCCCTTTGCTAACATCGCCTCTAGAAACGTGCTATGAACGGAGATCCAAGCATGGACCTAAAAGAAATCAGGGCACTCAAACGACTATCAGTCATTATAATGCCATAACAGAATTGGCTCGGGCATTTTGTAACAGCGGCAGCAAAGTAGTATTCTAGCATGGCAAATCCACCAAACATGTGTACTCTGACGATAGCGCCAGATCATAGTGGCGAGATTCTCTCGCGAAAATTACAAGATGTTGCGATCGACCACATATACATTATATGTAACATGCGACATAGTACTGAGGCCACGTCCAGCCAATCATAGCCTTTACCGCACGCTAACAACTATTGGACGAAAACTACTCCTTTCTCCACATCGGAGTAGCAAAAGAGGTTCCATATGAATTCAGACGTTCAGCCATTCAATCACCGTTCCAACTCGTGTGGATAGCTATTGGATTTTTTCCTATCATCAGACTCGGGCCATGTTTCATCCCTCTGAATCATATACATAGTCTATGTAGATTCGATGTTGCCTTCAGATGTCTCCGACTCTTGGCGGCCGTGCCGGGTATGACGCGATCGTAGAATGTCCTCGGTTGTTTTCCGAATGGGCGTAGGATAGTACTTTTCCTGTAGGGGATTAGTGTCTTGCACTGCCCACTGGAAAGGAATCCTACCAATTGTGACTCAAATGATATGAAAGTGGGTCTACACGTGACGCCGATTAGCGGCCTCGTATTCCGTTACCCCTGAGATCGCTGCATCTTGGTGGTCGAACAGAGAGAGTGGAACACACATATCATTGAGCCCATCGTGTATAGCATCAATCATATGGCTGCGTTGGTGTAGCCGCTACAGATCTCTTCTGCCTTCTTCCCCTTAGATGACCCCTGAGCAAGGAACCTTCAACATCAAAGGAGGACCAAAACCCACTCGGATCAGCTAAGAAGGTGTATACCCGACCAGAACCCCGTAATCGGATGCCTAGACAAACATCCGCTTCGCATAACTTGCTATACTCATAGGCCTTTTTAATGATGCCTTCCCTTCGCCGTTCTCTCATTTGCCGGAATGCCTTCCTTGAAGGGGCTCCCTTTTTCTTGTTCTCATGGAGAGGGGTCTCTAATGCCATATCGCGAATACTGATAGAAATGCAGCCAGATGATGTAGAGAATCACAAATATTTCTTCGTTTGCGTTATCATCTAAAGCAGGGTTCTAGTTGAGGATGGTTTAGATATATGAGTTAGGAGAGCCATGGTTTTCGGATCATACCAAAATCGTGGTCTTCAGCAGAGAGACAATCTATGGGAGTTCAACACCATCAACTATCTGAGGACCTCAGGCTTTGCCCATACCTTGTCGAGTTGACCGTTCACCTCATGTTGACCAGCAAGATTTGCCTAGATTTGCCTGGTCAACTCGCGAAGAGATGATCAACAAATGAAATAGCCGGCGCCGTTTGGTTACGTCATAAACAAATGGATTACGTTGACCACCACATAAACAGGTAGTCATGGGAACCACCAATAAAAGCGCCCCACATGTTAAGCTACGGATGAAAGGTCAGGCAGGGTTGAACGGTCAAAGGACAAGAAGCATTGCCCTCATCTGGTTAATGACCTGGGCAAATATCCATGCATCTGGCGTTCATTGTCAAGTGCTCCGGTTTTGAGCACCCGAAAGTCCAAGATTTTGTTTCCTGGCTGCACTCTGGGTTTCAGGTCCCTGACCGTGTGGTTCTAATATCTCCAGTCATGGAGAGAATATACTAGAATAGATGCCAAGGCGAGCTTGAGAGTGAATATGGAGAATTATACCTATTGATTATGGGCGCCGCCCTACCTTGGTCAACGAGACCGGCTCCTACCATGGGGTATGGCAGTTGATTTTGGCTGGTTGACGGGCACTATGCTCTCGTGTACCAGTCCCGTACCCAAGCAGCACAGTCGGCTTACATCCAAGAAAGAGCTTCTTCGCAATAATACACCAATGACATATCACGAGTGACAGACTGATTCTGTTTATTGTTGAGCCATCCTAAGGACTTGTGTCCAACATGCTAGGATGCTGGAGCGCTTCGTGCCGCTTAACCCGGGCTTCTTGACGTCCTTGGCACCCGTCGGCGGCTTCCATACTGCCTCGACACACCCCGACTATTAATGATGCCTGGTAGATCCTAAGTCAAAGTGTTCAACCTTCTGTGCTTGAGGTCTTCCGACCCGTGAACTACTGGTGTGTTCTCGGTCAAGGAAGGGAGATTCAGACTCACAAGGGGAGGGAATGGTTAATGGACTCGAACTGCTCTTTTCTTTGACTGTCGCCCGAAACCACGACGCAGCTCTCGTCCCCGGGGATCTTCCATCGATCTCGGCTGATTAACCGGCCCTGTCCTCTTAATTATTTACCTGGGCAAACACGCCTATTGGCTGATAGAGAGGTTATCAAAAGCCCGCAGGCCATTGTCCTATTAACGGGCAAGGCATTTCAGAGGGCTATGCGAGCCTAGACCAGCGTTCGCACATTGTGAAAGAGCTTCTGTCATACGCCATTCTTTTGATGAGCGGAGGGG